TTATTAGCAGACCCACTTTCTCTATGTATTTTATGCATTTTAAAACCATAATATTGCTCAAATGAGAACAGCCAACCAACAGAAAAATCAGGTATATTACAATCTTGGGGGTTAAGACCAAGTTGTTGAGCAAATTTGCGTCTTTTTTCACATATTAACTCCCCAGTCAAATAAATTTTTCTTGCTTGATATTGCAAAACCTAGTTTGCTAATACTTTGTTTAGCTGTAGTTGGAGTACTGTTCGGTGTCATTTGATCTTAAAATCTTTTTTATCATCAAGTTTAAGATACTCATTCTTTTTTGTAAGGATTTGCGAAAGTGTTGCTTGGTTAGAGATATTATCAAGCCCAAATTTTTTCTTTGCCTATTTTGCAAGCTCTTCTTGCATCATGGTTAGATCATTTTTGTTTTTGCAAGCAAATTTTTTTGCACTGATCATTAGTTAGACTGATTTTTTTTAAAGCTATAAAGAAGTTGTTTTTTTGTTTTTTTTTTTGAATCTTTGGTATAATTATTGTAGGAACATTATATAGTATACAATAAAATACTATTCTTGTACTAGACATTAACCAGGTTTTTTTAAAATCAATGTCTATTTTATGCAGCTTTCAGTTTCTTAATAATTTGAATATTTAGAAAAAAAAAAGGCATAGGTAGGTCTTTTATTGTTTTATATTAATAACTTCATTTATTTACACTTTACTAACACCACATCTAATACTTTTAAATTATTATTATAGTGGCATTGCTTATTTATTTATTGAAAAAGAGAGTGAATTACAATTTACGTATGCGGATATAGATTAATTCCCTATTTCATTTTAAATGCTTGCCCTGGCTTTTACAGTACAATACTAAATAATGTGATTATACTTAAATTAGCCTTGTATGCATAATAATAATTGCTACGTATTACTTAACTAATTATTTCATTTTATACTATCACTAATTATTATTTACTATTGCTTTGTTAATTAATGTATTGTTAACTATCTATCATTTACTATTACTTCGTTAACATTAATGTTAACTATCATTAACTATCACTAACTATCATTTACCATTGCTTAGCTAATATTAATGTTAACTATCAACTATCATTTACTAAGTATTGCTTTGTTAATACTTTAACATGTTTCAATTTTTACAGTACAA